AATTAGGGTTTAGGGATCAGGGTTTAGGGTTTAGGGCTTAGGGTGGAAGCCTTTGAAGTAGTTGAGTGTTGTTGCTTGGTGGGCAGTGGCCCCCGAAACATGCTTCGGAAGCATCTTGGTAGAAGAGGGTTTAGGGTTTAGGGTTTAGGGTAACCTCCGGCAGCATGCATCACCAGAGCCGAGTTACGACCCGTGTGCATGCTTTCTGGTCTCATAGCTGGCATGGTTCTACCTGTATGAAGATCGCCACTGTGTTCCTTCTCAACAATGCCACCGCCGCTGCTGTGGGCTGTGGTCGGTCAGCACAGCATCAGCATTTTCTGCCTTCTTCCTCGCTGGCCTCGGGGTTTTCCCACAGTCTTCCAGACTGCATTGCACGTGGTGCATCCGCAACGGTGTCCGGACGTACGTACTGACAATGTTGCTTTGGCATCCGCGGCTGGTGTTTGTTGACCGACTCTGCATCTCGCAAGCAGACCCCGTGCTGAAAGCGGAGGGGCTCTTCAGTTTGGGGGCAATTGTCAAGAATGACACAGCGCCTGGAAATAGAACTCTCGACTTAAGGAGAGCTCAACACAGAATCCATCAGTTGTCACTATATGATGCTGCATAGGCGACAGCGGCTTAGCTGATGCAAAGAAATCATCATGAGCCCTGATTGAGTGTCAAGCTAATGTCGTCTTTATTTCACTGAAGGTTCTTTCCCTGCCACTCGCAGGCGAATGGACACTGTTCTACTCGCCGTTGCAATCCGTCAACGGTTGAGGACCGTCAGCAAAGTGTCATGCCAGCACGCCGAAATCGGAATTTGTCTTCACGGAGAATGGAAAAAAGAAGCCTTCTGAAGGGCCCACCGAAGATTCCGCGAGAACGGCGCCCATCAGAACGCGGCATCGGCCTCCAGATCCGCTCCGTGAGGCCCTCGAGTCCCTTGCTGCGACGGTTGCTGCCGTTGCTGCTGCTCTGCTCCACTTCCGAAGATTCCGTCTGCCGGACTTTGCGAGAAATGCGACGCACGGCACCGTGAGGGATGCGAAAGTCACGAGAGCTTGTGCCCAAGGCTTCGCAGTGGCCTCAGAGGCCTTCGGCCTCGTGCACCTCGGCGGGAAGCCGCTGGTCACTGAGGAATAGGATGGGAAGCCTCTCTCCTCACACCCTCCCCTCACACATCACATGCGTGCCATGCGTGCCATGCGTGTTGTGCGTGTGCTCGCTTCTCGTCGCCGGACAGCAGGGCGCGCCTTCAGAAGGGCCTTCGCTAGGTGGTAGCGCCGGCCTCCCTGCCTCGCTTCGCTCTCCCGACCCCCTAGGAGGCCCTACAGAATTAGGCCCTGTATCTTCGTAAAGAAGCAGAGTCCTTTGGCCAGATGCCACCATGCGGATGCCAGCACCAGCGCCGCTCTGGCACCTTAAGCCATGTATGCCTGCCTTCGCTCTCAGTTGGTCAACTGCTTGAGATTCTGAAGGGTTCAGCTGAGGATGGGGCCTGGACTGTCTCAGCCCTAAACCCTAAACCCTAAACCCTAAACCCTAAACCCTAAACCCTAAACCCTGCTTCGAGTGGGCGTCCTTGGGCATCTCGAAGAGAGGTGCCCAAGGAGACTGAAACTCCGCTCCCAACCCAGCTTTTGCATCTCTTGTTCCATGCGCAGCGTGATCGATGCGGATCGTGTCCGGCGCCTAAACCCTAAACCCTAAACCCTAAACCCTAAACCCTAAACCCTAAACCCTAAACCCTAAACCCTAAACCCTAAAACCTAAACCCTAAACCCTGGGGCCTGGATCTGTGTGGATGTGCTGTGAAGTGCCAGCACCGGTGCAAGCACCGGTGCAAGCACCGGTGCCAGCGCTGCCTGGCAGATGCCTCCGAGTAATCCTTGTGCTGACCGCTGCGCACGACACGGGGCTTGCATCAGCTGCTGACTTGCAGCGCGGGGAGCCACTGTCAGCAGGGTCCCTCTCTCTCTGTCGCTCTCTCTCGCTCTAAAACTCTCGCCTGCCGACTGTTCGAGCAAGGAAGACGTGCTAAGGCACCGGCTCCTTGTTCGCAGGCACTTGACTGAGAATCCTCCACTTCACGCGCGTGAGACAACGCACCCTGTGAAGCCCTCAAAGGCCCGCAAGGGCTGCACGGGTGCGGCCACAGCATTCACCTACCTCTCCACCATGTCCGCGGGTTGAAAGCAGGACGCTGAAGGTATGTGAGAGTTGGACGCGGAGAGAAATGACGAGATCGAGGGTTACTTGTAAAAGCCTGAAGCCCGACAAGCCCCAAAAGCCCTGAACCTCAACCCTGACCCTACAAAGTCAGAATTCCCAGACCTACAAGCTTCAAGGAATCCTTGGAACTGTTAGGCATAAGCCGAAAGCATCCCAAGCAAATGTTCGTAGAGAGGTATGCGCTCCCATCCTTCGCTAACCTTTTGTACATACCAAGACACGAGCAGCAAGAACAACTAGCACAAGCACAACCACCGCAACCCAGCAACCACGAAACCGGTAGGCACCACAACCGCAGCAACCACAACAACAACCATGTAGCACATCAACACCGCGTCAGCAAAAACAACGTGAAGAACAGACGGGCACAGCAGGAAAATGCAAGCAGGACGATGATGACGACAGCCACCACCACCGCAGCTTTAACCGTGACTGCAGCCATGTCACCACTACCACCTTGCAGGAGTGCAGTCGCCTGTTGTATGTGCCTCCAGCAATCTTCTGCCTCTGTGTGTGACTGCAGCCATGTTGTGTGTGTTGTGTAGCTGCGGCGTGCTCCTCCTCTTGAGTGCAGGCCCTCCCAAACCCACAACACCCCTATTACCCCCTGCTGGTAGGTGCCCCGCACACCCCCGCGTTTTAACATAGCAATATGATTCTTCCAAGGCCCTACGCCTTGAAACCGACACCCTGCATAGGCCTTAGACCTTATGAAAAGGGTTTCCGCTGAGCCATCTTGCATGGTTTCTACAGCTCGCCTCAACCTCAACCCCCAAAATCCCTAAGGCCCCTTCAACTCTAAACCCTAATCCCTAAACCCTAAACCCTAAACCACTAAACCCCTAAACGACTAAACCCCTAGACCCCCCTGCCTCCATTCAAGACGAAGCCAATGTCATTGCAAACGCTGGCATACCTCGTAGTGGCGGCGCTGGGAGCCTCGGCTCAACTGCCACGTTGGGTTAGGGTTTAGGGTTTCGGGTTTAGGGTTGAAGGGGATATTGCTGAAATGGCGTCCCCAACCTAGGCAAGTCTGAGGCATCGTGGGTGCAGGGCCGGAGCACGCGCAGCTGCTGTGGCTGTTTTGTGTCAAGCCTTGCCCTGCTTTTCCAGCCCAGAAGTCCTGATGTGAGGCCCCTCTTGTCTTGCCCGCGAGAGGGTGGCTTTCTGAGGATCTGCTGTGTGAGCTCAGCAAGGGTTTTTTTGCTTGTCACTGGCCGCCCTAAGGGAATGGATAAGATGATGAGCACCTGTGATGCAACACCTCCTCCGGGGCTAGCACGCAGCTCGCCGACTCGGGTGGCCCGGAACAGGTGTCGTGCGCTGAAGCTCCGCGTTCGCAAAGCTGTCATGAAGGCGCTGGCAAAGAGTTCTGCTTCGGAAGTCACCTTCGAGGCATCGCGCGACTCGGCCGACCACTCGGCCACTTTGCGTGACAGCGATGGGGAGACACAGTCCGCAGCAGCGACATATGGTTCTTTTCTCTCACAGCTGTTGAAGACATCTTCTTTGGGCCTGGCAAGCTCTTTCCACGCATTGAGTGAAACTGGCGGGCGGCAGGAAGGCAATGGTCGAGGGCGACAGCGAGACCTTTTTCCGTTGCCTTTGCTGCAGTCGTGGCCGGCAGGTCTGGCCTGCAATTCCGAGGCAGAAGATGGGCATCTGCTGACGGCGAACTTGTGTCTGGCAGCTCTGAACCACTTGGAAAAAGGCATGCCCAGGAACGGCCTTGGGAGCGGTGCTTCTCTCGCAGCTTCCGAGGGCCAGAAGTCTGTTCAAATGCACGTTTGCGGAAGGGTGCACCGTTTCCTCTCACGTTTGCACGAAGGGCTGGCTGGTGCTTTCAGCTGGCGTGGGGCTTTCAGCAAGTTGGAGGCACGCGAGAAAAGTGCCGTGGCGGTGCCGCTGCTCGGTGACAGTGTGGACCTGCCCGCGCGGGCTGCAACCTGTGACCCAGCAAATCTGGTGCCTGCAGACTTGTGGTCCAAGGTTTCAGCTCCTGGGGCCATCTTTGGTTCACAGCCTACCTCCACCCAGACCCCTGCCATTTCTTCCAACAGCCAAGACCGCCGCGAGTATTTGGTTCTTACGGGAAGGGAGCTCCGCTGTGGAAAACTTCGCCTCCGCTCAGAAGTTCGTGGCGTGCAAAAGTCTTTGCCGTTCCAAAGTCGGAGCGGGGCCGACAGCGTAAGATCTGGGACGGCTCACACCTCTCCGAGATGGCGAGCAAGCCGCCGAAACCGGAGAGGTTGGCCAACCCCAGCTCTTTTTTGGACATCTTGGTTCGTCCTGGGGAGCAGCTCTACATGTCCAAGAGGGATGCAAGCACCTACTTTGACTTGTTGGCTGCCCCCCCTGATCTGCAAGCTTGGTTTGGACAGGAACCTGTCACGGTGCAAGAACTCAGCGCTGTTGCTGGCATGACTGTTGAAGAAGTGTACTCCTACGTCGATGATCTGGACAGTCAAAGAGCTCTTGGGCCCAGGTCGATGCTTTTTCCTGTCAACACGGCGTGTCCTCGTGCGTCGCTCAAGGGAGTACACTGGGCATGCTGCGCTTCGCTGGCGTCAACGAGCAGAACATTCTGAGCTTGGACCACAGTCTGCCAGAGTCGCAAGAAGAGCTTTGCGCTGTCGCGACGGATGACGTGATCCTTTTCCACAGATGCAAGCGCAAAGGTCGTTCCACGTTAAGAAGACTTGATGCGAGCTTTGCGCAGCATGGAGTCCAACGCAACGAGAAGAACGGGTCTTGGTTGTGACATTAGCGCGTCGCCGCCCATGGTGCAGCCTGCGTGTGAGAAGCAAGCCCGACTTGTGCTCGCAACTTGCGATTTGTTGGCTTCCGAGATCGCCAGCCCAGCTGCAGTGAATGCTCTACTCGGCCTGCAACAGTGGTTTTGTTTGCTGCAAAGGGGAATGCTCAGCATTTTCTCGGAAGTTTACAATTTCGTTCGGGAGCAGCCAGAGTCAGAGAAGCGGCGTGTTCCGGCCAGCGTTTTGGATGAGCTGTTCGTGTCCTTAGCTCTGGCTCCGCTTTTGCCAGCAAGCCTTGATCGTGAATTCCTTCCTGAAGTCTTGGCGTGCGATGCTGCTCCAGAGTATGGCTTCGGTGTAACCCTGGTCCAGTGTGGAAAGCGCATGGCAGAGAGAGTTGGCAGGCTGTCAGAGCGCAGAGGGGACTACGTCAGGCTGGAGCACTCAGCGGAAGACCCGCCCGAAGTTGAACGTTTGGGCACGCTTCACCGGATGCCGTTCAAGAAGACGGACTTTAAGCAGCTGATTTCGTGCAAGGCAAGATGGTCAGGCCACTCGGGCCTCCTGGAGTGTCACGGAGTTCTGCTGTCGGTGAAGTGGATTGCTAGAAGTCGTAGGAGGCATCACCGCCGCGCTGTCATCCTAGTCGATGCCAAAACCGCCATAGGCAGCGTGGCAAAAGGGCGAAGCTCGGCTCGCTCTTTGAGAAGGGTGTTGCGGAGCATCGCCGGACACGCTCTGGCAGCGGACCTTTTGCTGCGTCTGGTTTATATTCCCACGGAGGACAACCCGGCTGATGGGCCTTCAAGGGGAAGGCGTCTTGTTGGGCGAAAGCGGGGCTCCTACCACTTCCGGTGATCCTGACTTCGGAGATGTTTTTCACAGGCAAGAGTTTTTCATGCATGCGATGACTGATGTGCCACTGACGCTCACTGCCATGCAGCCGGGCTCTTCGCGAGTGGTATTCAGGGCTCCTGGACCCCACCTTCGACAAGCTTTGGACGGAGCTTGGAGCTGCTGTGTGGTTGCTGGGCTCGCGATCTGCGTCCATTCGCGTAGTGCTAGCATGCCTGGTAAATCTGTACTTGTTCCTCTGTCGCCGCTAGAGGGCGAAAGGTTTTTGGTTTTGCCTGCAAGGGGCTCTCACATGCTTCGGCCACTCGGGTGAAACTCGTGTCCAGTGCGGGGAGATGGGTGCTTCGAATTGAAGGTGCCCCTTCTTAATGCGCATCTTGAGATGCGAATCTCTACCTCGCAGTGGCCTCAGTTTAAAAAGCTGTGTACGTCGCCTCTCTTCGGCAAGTGCGGTGGAGCCTCTTTGAAGCAATGAAGGGGATATTGCTGAAATGGCGTCCCCAACCTAGAGGCAAGTCTGAGGCATCGTGGGTGCAGGGCCGGAGCACGCGCAGCTGCTGTGGCTGTTTTGTGTCAAGCCTTGCCCTGCTTTTCCAGCCCAGAAGTCCTGATGTGAGGCCCCACCCACCCACCCGGGTACTTCGAATTGAAGGTGCCCCTTCTTAATGCGCATCTTGAGATGCGAATCTCTACCTCGCAGTGGCCTCAGTTTAAAAAGCTGTGTACGTCGCCTCTCTTCGGCAAGTGCGGTGGAGCCTCTTTGAAGCAATTAGGGTTTCGGGTTTAGGGTTTCGGGTTTAGGGTTTCGGGTTTTGGGGGTTTAGGGGTTGGTTCAGGCTTGGTGTAAAGGCACCTTTGGAAGGTCCGCTCATCAATCATGTGGCGGATGTCGTTGCTTGGCCGCCGAAACACCCGGGTGTGGCGCGATGAGAATTCAGGGTTTTGTTTCCGAATATCTTGGGCGCTTGTTGAAGGCTGTGTCTGTTCGAAGGAGTGGGTGTGTCATGGGTAGCACAATGTCCTTCTCTGCCTGCTGCGATGCGAATGCTGTGGTTCAGGAGTTGCAGGCGTCTGGTGTTTGGCATCCGCAGGCCAACTTTCTGACAACCCGGGCAAGTGGAAGCCGGACAAGGTTTTCGAGCCGCTAGGAGCCAACTGCACCATCCTAACAGTCCGCCACAGCTTTGAGAGCCAACGGGACAAGACGGCAATCGAAGGAAAACAATTGATGGAGTGGTGCCAGGACACTGTGGAATACACCTTTGCTTACCAAAACCAGAGTACAGCGTACTCAGAGTCGCCCCTGCTCTCACGGCGAAATGATCGCAAATACAAATTGTTTAGCCCCATGGCGGATGTGTGCCACGGTGCTGCTGGCTACCGGGACCCGGTGTGCGGCCACTTATGCAGTGTAGGCCAGGAGGTACCCGGAGGGATATTTCGTCACATTTTTGGTGATAATCGAGCTACAATGGTACTTACAAATCAGAACCGTTTTGACCGTACTGGGCGCTTAGAACTCAAACCATAACTTTTCCAATTTTTAGGGGTCTTCCCCTAAGCCCAAAAGCCCTAAACCCTGAACCAGGGGAACCCCCCTCATTCTTGGAAGCTTCCAGGTCTTCTGCTGGAAGCCGGTTCATGGCGCCCGTCCCACTTGGGCCGCCTGTGGAAATCCGCAGCAGACTCCGCAGTTAGGGTGGGTGTCTAGGGCTTAGGGTCGGGCGTAGAATTTAGGGTTTAGGGTGCATAGGGCATAGAAACAAGGGCACGCGGGGAGGGTGTAGGGCATGTATTTTTTTAAGGTTTCAGGTTTGGGCTTCAGGGTGTAGTGCTCTTCGGTACAGGTAGCCACAGGAGAACGTTCAAATGGTTTGCTTGTTCCTTTTCGTCCCCAACCTGCCTAAACTCTGAACTTTGGCCTTTGCCTGTGTGGCAGAAATAGAGGCAGTGCTACAAGATCATGCCGCCCCAGCTGGTGCAAAGCATGGCAAACGAGAAACTACGCGATGATTTTCTGGTTGTCGGCTTACTACTTCTGGTAGCTGCGTGTGCTTGTTGTTGTGCTGTCATCAGCGGCTCCCGTTCAGATGAAAACGAAGACTCCGATTCCGACTCCTGGCCGCATCGGGAAATCTGAGAAAAGGTGCTTAGAGACACGCTGGGGTTGGTCTCTGGTGGTTGATCAACAGACCTGCTCCCAGCAATTTTTTGCCCTTGCAACAGAGAGGGGCCCTAAAACACAGAGGGGCCCTAAAAAGAACTTCTTCCAAGAGGGACCTGTGGATCAACCCAAGATCACATCCCCAGAGTCCTGCAATCAAGGAAATCGGGGGTTCCTGATTTACCTCGGGGGCCCGAGATGTCCCGGTTCAGTGAAACTGAAGTAAACCCGAAGCCTTCAACCCTAAACCCTTCATTCTGCAGTATGGGCTAAACCTTAAAACCTTAAACCCTAAACCCTAAACCCTAAAACCCTAAAACCCTAAACCCTGGGGCTTAGGGCTCTACGCGAGCTGGGGTGCCCACTGGACCTGTCTTGTCCTGGCAAGCTCTATTCCCTAAGCCCGAAACCCTCCTCCCATTCCAACTTGGAAGTTCATGGATCCATTTTTCTCATGATACTTGTACTCATAACCAATATTACGGGGACTTGGAGGGCTTACAAGTGCATTATAACTACAGTCATATTTGGGTTATAAGTACCCATGAACCTCCAAGTGAGCCTGTGTTGCATCTACAAATAACAAGCAGGTACCCAGCGCTCTGGTCATTGCAGGTTTAGGTTAGCGTTTACGGGTAAGGGATGCGCGGGGGCATATTCCTAGCTCTTGCCGGCGTGCTCGGCAGAGCAGCTGTGTTGTGCTGGGCACTGTGGAGCTGCCAATTCAGCCGCCCTAGCATTTTTTTTTATGCAGTACATGCTTCACATAGACGCCTGCGTCAGAAAGCAGCGTCTGCATTCGTCTGCCCGCAGGTCGCATTGCCCTGAAAAAAGGTGCCTCGAGTCCACTGGAATGAGCCCGCCCCCCCTTCCCCACCCCCCCCCCAACCTTTGTGTACCCCAAAACCTGAAACCCCTCCCCCTCCACCCCAACAATATGTAAAAATCCTGAACCCCAAACTCCTAAACCCTAAGCCCTAAACCCTAAACCCTAAACCCTAAGCCCTAAACCAGAGTCTTCGGCTAGCAGGCCGGAGCCCGCAAGCACCCCGGCCAAGGCTTGCAAACTCTGCGACTTTCTTCTCGAACCCCCAACAAAACTAGCAAAAGGATTCTTCCTTGTAAGGGAAGTAGCACAGGGATCATTATCTTTCGAACCCCCCCCCAAAAAAAAGTGAAATTAGATTCTTCCTTGCAAAGGCAATATGGGGATTGCTCTGTTTCACTTGTGGGTGGGTTTCTACTTGAAGGTTCATGGTACTTACTAACCAATGGTCACTGTACTTATAACTGTACTTACAACCATATTAGGGTACTGAAGGGACTTATCAGTGGGTGATAAGTACAGTTATGATTGGTTACCTCCAAGTAGGGTCTGCTTGGGGGTCTAGGGTTAGGGTTTGTGGGTTTTGTGGGTTTTGTGGGTTTTTGTGGGTTTTGTGGGGTTTTGTGGGTGTTGTGGTGTTGTGGGTTTGTCTAGCTAGGTGTTGTGGGTTTGTCTAGCTAGGCTTTATGGTGTTTCTCGCAGGTATTATCGTCATTTTCAGGGTCTGTATGGGCCTTATTGATAACCACCAATGCCCTAGACGATAAGCCCTAAACGGCATTTTGTATGTGAAAAAAGGCAAAGGAAAGCGGTGCCCTGACATACGACAGACAGTCAGGGTTAAGGGTTTAGGGTTTAGGGTTTACAGGGCCCGCCAGGCCTTATATACGGGCTTGAAGCCGATTCTTTAAACCCTAAACTATGCATTGTCCGGGTTTGTTTTGCCCATCTCCTTCGGGTTTGTTTTGCCCATCTCCTTCCATTTTTTCTGCTCGAGAACGAGGAGGTTGGCCTCAATCGAATTTTCTGTGTGGCCGTAACAGGGGCAGATGACAAGAACATGGTCACCTAAACCCTAACCCTAAACCCTAAACCCTAAATCCTAAACCCTAAACCCTAAACCCTCAACCCCAAACCCTAAACCCTAAACCCTAAACCCTAAACCCTAAACCCTAAACCCTAAGCCCCACACCCTCGGTGTAGAGGCCCATGGACAGAACAGAACTCACAAATAGCAGAGGAAGCCTGGGATTTTCACAGGGCTTCGGTTTTAGAATGTAGGATGTCGGGTTTCGGGTTCGGGGTTACGCCGCTGCCCTTGATGATCTTGATGGCTGGGGCTAAACATGTTTACAGTAGGGATCTACTTGTGAAGGGTTTCCGATATGACCATCTTTTCATATAGCCCCAAACCGTTTTAAATTCAATAGCAATATGATTTCCTGTCCAAGGCTCTAAGCCTTGAAACCGACACCCTGCATAGACCTTAAACCTTTGTAAGGGTTTCCGCTGAGCCATGTTGCATGTTTCTACAGCTCGCCTCAACCTAAACCCCCCAAAACCCTAAGCCCTAAGACTTAAACTCTACACCCTAAACCCTAAACCCTTAACCCTAAACCCTAAACCCTAAATTTAAACCTTAAACTCTACACCCTAAACCCTAAACCCTAAACAAGACGAAGCCAATGTCATTGCAAACGTGGCGAGCTCTGGTCGCACTGGGATACCTCGTACTGTTGGCACTGGGAGCCTCGGCTCAATTGCAACGTTTGGGTTTAGGGTTTAGGGTTTAGGGTTTACGGTTTACGGTTTAGGGTTTAGGGTTTGGGGGGAGAGTGTGTCATGGTAGCACAATTTCCTTCTCTGCCTGCTGCGACCTGGGGTTTCCGAAAATGGGGGAACCCCTAAAATAGAGCCAAAATAGTAGGGTCACTTCATAATCAGGATCCCAACAAGGTACCCCTAATTTCGGAAACCAAAATTGTGAATGATGTGGCTCAGGAATTGCAGGCGTCTGGTGTTTGGCCGTCGCACGCCAACTTTCTGACAACCCTGGCAAGTCTGAGCCCGACGAGCTATTTGAGAAGCTGGGAGCCAACTGCACCATCCTAACAGTCCGCCACGGCTTTGAAAGCCAACGGGACAAGACGGTAGACGACGGCGCATTGTATGAGTGGTGCCAAGACACTGTGGAGTACACCTTTGCTTACCAAAACCAGAGTACAGCGTATTCAGAGTCGCCCCTGGTCTCACGGCGAAATTATCGCAAATCCAAAGCAGCCTGGGTTTTTAGCCCCATGGCGGATGTGTGCCACGGTGCCGCTGGCTACCGGGACCCGGTGTGCGGCCATTTATGCAGTGTAGGCCAGGAGGTACACGGAGGGACATTTCGTCACCTTGTTTGTGATAATTGAGTTACAATTGTACTTACAAATCAGAACCGTTTTGACCGTACTGGGCGCTTATAACTCGAACCATAGCTTTTCCAGTTTTTTAATTTTAGGGGGTTGAGTATGTAAGCCTGAACCCCTAAACCCTAAGCCCGATAGCCCTAAACCCTAAACCAGAGCCCCCTGATTCTTGGAAGCTTCCAGGTCTTCTGCTGGAAGCCGTTCGAAGAAGGCGCTCGTACTGCTTGGGCCGCCTGTGGAAATCCGCAGCAGACTCTGCATTTAGGGCCTTTAGGGCGGGGGTCTAGGGTTCAGGATCGGGTGCACGCTGGCTTAATTTTGGGTTTAGGGTTTAGGGTGCGTCGGGCATAGAAACTAGGGCACGCGGGGAGGCTGCAGGGCCTGTATGGTTTAAGGTTTAAGGTTTAAGGTTTAAGTTTAAGGTTTAAGTTTATGGTTTAAGGTTTAAGGTTTGGGCTTCAGGGTGGCGTGCTCTTCGGTCCAGGCAGCCACAGGAGAACGTTCGAATGGTTTGCTTGTTCCCTTTCACCCTAAAGCTGCCTAAAACCGTGGGTTTAGGGTTTAGGGTTTAGGGTTTAGGGTTTAGGGTTTAGGGTTTAGGGTTTAGCGTTGTCTGTGCGGCGGTCAGACATAGAGGCAGTGCTTCAAGATCATGCCGCCCCAGCTGGTGCAAAGCAGAGCAAACTTGAAACTACACGATGATTATGAGGCAGCCGGCTTGCTACTTCTGGTAGCTGGGTGTTGTTGTTGTGGTGTCATGTGTGGCTGCCCAAATTCAGATGAAGACAAAGACTCCGATTCTGAATCGGGGTCGGACTGGTCCTGAGAAAAGGTCCTTAAAGGCACGCTGGGGTTGGTCTATGGTAGTTGATCAACAGACCTCTTCCCGGCTTGTTTTTGCCCTTATAACACAGAAGGGGCCTGAATACCTTCTTCCAAGAGGGACCTGTAGATCAACCCAAGATCACATCCCCGGAATCCTGCAATCAAGGAATACGGGAATACGGGGGTTCCTGATTTCCGTAAAAGCCCCCAGATGCCCCTGCTAAATGAAACTGAAGTAAACCCGAATTCCGCAGTATGGGGTGGCCCCATGACTATTCCTTTTAAATCCAAAGTCGGATTTGGGGCGTAGGGCCCAATGCACCTGTATTGTCCTGGCAAGCTCTAACTTTGCGATCTTCGGCATCATCCCACAAACCCAATGTTAGGGTAACACAGAAGGTCAGAATCCTAACCCTAAACCCTGAACATCCCTGAGCCCCAAGCCCATTACACTGGCTTTCATGGGCTCTCCGCTTCGGGAGTCATCATTTTCTTCCCTGAGACCAAAATCCTCCTCCCATTCCAAGAGTAAGTTCTCATGTCACATATAACTCAGGATACTTGATGAAATTTGTACTTATAATCAATATTACAGGACTTGGGGGGCTTAGAAGTGCGTTATAGCTACAGTCATATTTGGGTTGTAAGTACCCATGAACCCTCCAAGTGAGCCTTGGTTGCATTCACAAATAACAAGCAGCTGCTCATTGCAGGTTTAGGTTCGCGTTTACGGGTAAGGGATGGCGTGCGCGGGGGAGATTGCTAGCTCTTGCCGGCGTGCTCGGCAAGGCGCTGTGGCAAGGCATGTGGATCTGCCAATTCATCCCCCCCCTTGCATTTTTGCAATATATACATGCTGATCATAGGCCCTGCGGTCAACACAGCATCTCGCGTCTTGGTGCCCGCAGGTCGCGTTGCCCTGAAAAAGGTCCTGCAGTCCCACTTAGAATGAGTCTCACACCTCCCCCATTTCCCCCCCCCCCCCAAACCCCTCGTGTACCCAAACCTGAAACCCCTCCCCCTCCGCCCCAAAAAATTCCAAAGAATCCTGGAACGGCAAACTCCGAAGCCCCCAAACCCTAAACCCTAAACCCTAAACCCTAGCCCTAAACCCTAAACCCTAAACCCTAATCTTCGGCTAGCATGCCGAGCCCGCAATGCGCTCTTTCCAAGCTTTGCAAAAACTTACGATTTTCGTTCGAACCCCCCCAACAATAGGCAAAAGGTTCTTCCTTGTAAGGGTACAACACAGGGGGGCATTCTCTTTCGAACTCCCTCAAAAAAAAGGGACAAAAGGTTCGTCCTTGTAAGGGTAATATGGGGATTGTTAGTTTCAACTTTTGGGGGGTTTCTAGGGGTCTGCCTCAAGGGCACAAACTATTCCTTCGAAGGCATGAGTCGACAGGGCCCAATCGGGGTCTAGGTTTTTGTGGGTTTTTGTTGGGTGTTTTGGTTTGTTTTTGGGTTTTGTGGGGTTTTGTGGTTTTTGGTGGGGTTGTGTGTTGGTGGGTGTGGGTGTGGTGGGTGTTGTGGGTGGGTGTGTGTGGGTTGGTTGTGCGGTGGTGGGGTGTGTGTGGGTGTGTGTGGTGTGTGTTTGGGGTTTTTTGTGGGGTTTTTGTGGGTTTTTTGGGGTTTTTGTGGTGGTTTTGTTGGGGTTTTTTGTGTGGGTTTTGTGGGGTTGTGGGGTTTCGGGTTCTAGGGTTTGGGTTTTAGGGTAGTTCTTGCAGTAATTATAGCCATTCTCAGGTCTGTATGGCTTATTGATAAACCACCAGAAGCCCTAGACGATAAGCCCTAAATGCCATGTATTTTGGGATCTTCCCCTTCTACTAGTCCCTAATACGGCAGGGGGAGATCCTGGGCTTCAGGCCGAGTGTTTTGGAGAGGTCGGGTTCTGCATTGAACCGCAAAAACAGAAAGCGATGCAAATGCTGTGCATGCTGCAGCTCGGGCGCGTGGCCGCCTGCTGTTTTCGGCTCCAGCGGACCGGCGCACTGGCTTTTTTTTTTTTTTGGTTTTTTTCACTAAATTAAATTCCGCGGGCCTCGCAGACAGCAAACAACCCTTTTTTCCGAGACTGCCCCTGAACCCACGGCCTCAACTCCAAACCACAATCCGAAAAGCCTCTCTGTGACCTCCGTGCCCTCCTAACGGTGAATACATTCAACAAGACACGGCGTTGATTGGATTAGACCGCGACCTGCCTGAAGCCCTGTCGTAACCGCAGGCGCAGCACAGACCAGGTGCCCCAAATGCAGGATGGTAAAGCAAGAAACGACAAAAAGCAAGACAGCCGTGACCTGCTTTATGCTCCCCAAACACCTGCGTGCCGAGGCGTCGGCGGATTTCTTGTGAATGCTTTTTGTTGCTGAGCATCCGCCAAATTTACTTCCCTCGGAAAGCGATAGGGGCCCCGCCCGAATCGATAACCCCGATACATATTATATATATTATGTTATATGGATATGTGTTGACTTCCAAATCCTCGAGGGTCGATAGGGGGCCCACCTACCATCTTACGCAACACTTCAGTGAACAATGGACTCGGCCCCTCATATGTTCACCGTACACTAGACACTAGAGCTTTCGTCTTTTTTTTTCTCCCGGGGTCTCAATTCTGTGGTGTTGTGTCCAAAAGTTACATGCCGTTCTTCTTTGAAAATTTGGCAGTCCATTCTTGTTGCCTCCATTGTTTCCTTTGTGCCTTCCGCGGTTTCTTTTCTCAAGGATCTCACTGCGCAATTCCTTGTGAAACGGAACGCTGAGGCACTTGAATGGCACCGGCCCTGGATTTGTTGAGCGGGGGTGCCTTGTTGTTTTGCTGTGGGCGCAAGCGAGTGTTGGTGCCCAACAGGTTGGGTCATTCTTTCTCTTACGTTCATCTCATATCATATCATATTATATCATAATCATATCAATAGCATTCATATCATAGATATATTTATTATTTATTATATTTAGATTGGTGAGACCGTTTGGTGAGGTTCTGCTGCTTGGTGAGAAAGCTTAAGGGGGCGAAACAAGGGTTTAGGGTTTAGGGTTTAGGTTTTTGGGGTTTTAGGGTTTAGGGTTTAGGGTTCAGGGTCCCTGAAAGAAACCTTTTGGGTTTTCTGCTGAACGCGTAACGAACTCAGACTGCCCCGGACATGTAACCCCCAAAGTTTGGAAACCAAGATATTATACCGTTGACCCCAAAAGTGAAACCTTTTTGAGGACAAAGACAAATCTGCTGATTCCTAACTTTCTCTTAGGGATTGGAGGCCATTGAGTTTCCAACTTTTTGGCTTCTACGATATTGTTTGGAAACATTAACTGCCACACTTGGAGGTTCCAGGTACCTATTGACCATTAAATAAACTGACTTGTCACTGTACTTGTAACCATACTAAGGCACTTAAAAGGGCTTTCTGATGGGTTATAAGTACAGTTAGAATTTTTTTAATATCCCATGAACCCTCAAGTCCATGATTCGGGCTTTGCTTTGAGGACTCCTGAACAGTGAATGTGTGTGGTAGCTCAAGAAACGACAGATCAATCGACTAACCCTCTCGTTTTTCCGGAAGAATTCATGTCATGGCTTGTGAGTCCAATCTTGGTCCAACTTTAAGCCCCGCGGCAAGACTTGAACGAAAAGAAGTCCCCAGAAAGCCTGGCGTCGCCACGAAAAGCTGCTGATTTCGCCGCTGAGTTTTGCGCCACATTTCTGGAAGGTCAGCAGTTCATGAGCTGCCAGAGGAGGAGGTGCCAGAGCTCGGAAGCATCCACTTGCCTGATTCACGCGGCATACCGGGGCAATTTCAGGTGGTTGAACTCTGATCGCAAACCACGCCGCCTGCGAGCCGTCCTCGGAAAAGGGCGGAAATGTGGTGGACTGGTTTGTGCTTTCGCAGCGACACCAAGGCCGAGTTTTCTGCAGGCAGTTCTTCAGAAATGGACGGAGAAACTTCGGTGAGTCGGACTTGAAAAGCATGCTGAACCATGCCCTGATCATCCGGCACGCCGCTGATTGTGCGGTCTTTGCCCCAATGTTGTGGCCCATTGCTCTGAGTCGCGGGAAAATGCGTGATGCTTTTTCATGTTCCCCGTGTTTGGTCAGTCTGCTGCAGCCCATGTTCCTGAAACCTTCAATTCTGACCAACACAACGGCATTGAAGTCACAGAAATGTATACAGAGAGGAGGCTTTTGACGTATCTCAAGCGTCTGCTGCCGGTCGGTTTCTGCCGAGAAAGATTTCCCCCCTACTAGAAATCCCTAAACCCTAAACCCTAAACCCTAAACCCTAAACCCTAAACCCTAAACCTGATGCCCCCATGCCCCGGCAGGCCGATGCCACCTATGCCTCGCTTGGCTTCCGGCTCTGCCAGTTGGCCAGGCAGGTGCATGGGGCGCGGCTGATCGATGTGCTGGACACAAATCGTGGGACATTTCGGATTCTGGGTTTTGGTGGGAAAGGGCTTTTGAGCTTTTGTGGCGCCCGAGGCGCGAGAGTTTTTTGCTTTAGAGAAAGATGCGCATCTTGTGCCTCAAGAGGAAGACTCACCCTTGACTTTCAGCAAGCTCAATGTTTCGACTTTGCCTTAAACCATTTGATGGTTGTCCTTTTCTTGGTCTGCTGGCCATTTGCAATTCTATCATGGCCAATCTACTTAATATCGCTGTGTCAAAGTTGGCTTGCCAGTGTTTCATACAGAATGCCAGACTTCGCGCGGTTTCATGACTGTGCACGACTGGACATATTCTGCTGCACCCTAAACCCTAAACCTTAACCCTAAACCCTAAACCCTCAACCCCAGGACCATTGTTCCTGGCAGCGCAAGAGAATGTGATGAGACGTCAGTCAAGAACCTGCTGGCGGCCAGAGCGCGTCCTGGCTTAGGGATACTTGGAATTTAGGATTATTAGGGTTTAGGGTTTAGGGTTTAAGGGTGTAGGGTTTAGGGTTATGGTTTTTTGCTAGGGTTTCCAAGTTCCGCACAGGTTGGTTTTCCCTCTGACCCCGT